CTAGTGTAAAACAATTCAAACAGGAAAATCAACGGTCTATTCTGTATAAAAAACGAGAAACAAGAAACACTTAAGAACCACATCAACAAACGACAACCACTGAAACAGGTTCCTGACTTCGGACAGGTGCAAAAAAATTCAGCGGGTTTAAACGTTTTAACAGGCGCCAACCTTCACCCTAACCTGAAAAAGTAGTGTAACATTACAACATAGAAAGACACACTATAAAATATCAATTGAAATGGCTTAACTCAATCAAAAAGACATATTAACAAAAACAAGTAAACATACACTGAACGAATAAATTTGATCTATGACACATTGTCAAAAAGACAACTATAACCTTGGACAAAATGGCGTTAAATAAAATTACGTAAATTTAGATATAATAATTTTGTTGATAGGAGTACGGAGAGATAAACATGTATACAACATGTATAATAAACGGATAGAAACATCCAGTGCAGATTTCTGGGATAGAAAGGGATAACAAGCAGTTGCGTTACCAGTTTATGCTTACTTTTACATTTACATGTATCTTGATCAAGTATTACACATGTGGAGTAAAAACAATAAAATAAAATGGATACATAAAAGCGGTTAATGCAGTTTATTTTAAACATATTTTATTTACTAAAATAAGGATAAATAAAAGAGACACATGTACTTATACATTTGGAGTTTTCTCCATAATACAATCTGAATATATATACATTTATATATAATGACAATAATAATATAATGAGCGTCCATGTAAAGCGAACAATTTATTGAATTTTATACAAATTGTAAATTAAAAAAAAGCAAAAAGCAAAGATTGAGAAATAACATTATTCTGCGATGATGACTTAGGTTTTGATAATAATCGTACTAGTAACGATATCACTTTATGAAGGTAAAAGAAACATGTTTCACTTTTTGATAAAAACTTGACCACATTTAAAAAATTTAATAGTTTGATCTATGACATTCGAAATTTCAAATTTTCTGCAAATTAACTGTTTTGTTTATGTGTAAGGCAAGGTTTTCGGAAAGCCAATTAAGATTGAAGAATAAAGTTTCTCTACATGAATTGTATTTTGTATAAACGAAAAAGAATTGACGAACATTTTCGAAATACGTCCCACACTAACAGGAAGTTTCAAGTATAATGTTAGCTCGGTAGGTTATAGTTTAAGAACAAAGTTGAACATCGTACAGATAAAAAGCTGCAAATTTACTGAGGAGACTATCATTTTTTCAATTCTTTCTTAAATATTTAGATTTTGAGCCGACCTTGCAATCTTTTTGTATCTTATGCAGGACAATAACTTTTACTGATCAAAAAGGTAAATAAAACACAAACTAGATAATATAGCATTAGGAATGTTTGCAAATCTTTAAACATGTCAAGCTTTGTACAATGAAATTATATATTTCCCCTCTAAAATACAGTGCTGTAAAAATAAAACACAAGGATAAATGTCAGTCAGTGCATTATTTTAATATTATACTGGTATTAAAATTTATTTCATATTTTTCTATTTTTTCTTCTTATATATATGACTAAGGGTGTATGTAGGTGTGATTTCTCATTCAATGACAGAAGTGTTTATTTCTCGTCAGGGACGGAAGAATCACTAAATACTAGTATGTCTTTGGAATGTTATTCGGAATAATATACGCACGCGACCGTTATGGAAAAGGAACGGCTACAAAATCTAATCCTTATCAAAAGATTCTTTTTCTGCTACATCAATTGTGGGAGACGTCCTCGCATTGGTAGCATTTAACTAGCACATGCCTTATTATATGTTTCTCGCTAGAATAGCCTACCGGGAGGATAATTTAGGGACCATATTCAATTCTTATTAGCCAATAATTTAAAATACTTTATCCTTGTGCCCATAATTTTTCCAAAGTCCAGAAGTGCAGTCGGGAGAAACAATGTGAATTGTTATTGTTGCTTCCGGCTGCACTACTTAGAAACTACTGCAAAACATTAACCAGGATCTAGTATAGACATTCAAAAATAAAACTAAGATTTTAGCAAGAAAACATTCAAAAAGGGGACCTTCATTCTTATTTTTTTTAATCAAGATATTCTTTATTTTTAAAAGTATATAACAGACGACACAAAGGTGAACAACCTGGTTAAAGTTTTACACAATATTTTTACATTTCATTATGAACAATCATTTGTTTTTTGTTGTTTTTTTTTTTTTTTTTGGTTGCTTTGTTTTATTTTTCCTTTCAATTTGTTTTTTGTGTGTTTTTTTTATATAAATTTTGTTTATATCCATATGTGTACTTTATTGTAACAAAGTCAACCCTGTTCGTCATAGTTTCATATAAGTACTCGCAAAAATGTAATACTAAACATATATTAAAGAGTGAGTGTATATACATAATAATCATGTTAAATTTAAGGCGCAATTACTATATAAGTAAGCCGCCTACTAAAACCAATAACAACTAGTATCTCAATTGTTTGTAAAACAATTGAAAGGTCTTTCCCGTAAAAATCTGATGTTTTCGTAATGCACTCTTTACGACCTTCATTTTGATAGGCGATAAGCAAACCTTCTCACACTTTTCACTTTTCCCACTTAATGACCCCATCCACCTAAATTTTCGAGATCGGATGTATGATATTTGTAATGTAGACCAATTCACCTTTCATTTGATATGCGACAACATTATCTTCAAGAAAGTTTGAATTTTGCACTTAATAACCCCATACAACTCATTTTTGGAGGACAGGAATTAGATATTTGAAATATACACATTATGACCTTTCATTTGATATACGACAACTTTACCATAGAAGACAATTTATTTTTTGCACTGAATGACCCCACCTTACCCATTTTTGGGGGACGTAAATTTGATATTTAAAATGTACGCTTTATGGACTTTCATTTGATATGCGACAACCTAACCATCTGAATAGTTTGAACTTTTTGCACTAAATGACCCCACCCTTCCCACTGGGATGAAAAAAGTAGAGCTCATTTAGACGTTCAATTTGATATACTAACTGACCCCATTTGGCAAAGTGCCAAAAATGATGCAATATCAATTGTATAAATAGAACTTATGAAACTTACAAAGTTAATGTAAAACATGAAAATTTCAAATTGATTTTTTTTTTCATTGAAAGTTTTTGGTAACTAGTCAAACATTTAACCATGTTAAACTCTTCAATTTTTAAAAATTTCAGTTTGTAAGCTCTTGTTGATTCAGAAATACATGCCTCCGCACGCAAAATTTCAAACTGCATTATCTCTTAAACGACAACAGATATCTCAAATCTGCTAGGTGAAAAATGATCTGCAGTTGAAGTATAACATTGTAGAAAGAAAAAAATTGGGACAATTCCAAAGTTCATCAAGGTCACAATGAATAATCAAATAATGATGCAATACCAAACTTAAGAAGTCTACCACCATTCAACTAAGAACCACTTGACCTTTCAAATATCACAAGGTCAAGGTCATAGTACACTTTGAAGGTCAAGGTAAAATTTCATCATGACCTTGATATTGACGTCAAATTGAAGGTATTGAAATACTGATTAATTTTGAAATTTATAGTAGGTTGATATCTTTTCAAGATATACACAAAATACTATACTTTTAAAAATTAATTCGTTGTTACTTTTGAACGGATGGTCGGACAGTTTTGAGCTTTATCTATAAAATGTAGAGCTTTTCCAGAGGAACATTTTATACACTTAATGTATGCAGCAATCTCTTATCCTTTTCTTAATATGTAAGCTTGAAATTGCAGCGTAATTTTTTTTGCACTCAGTGACCTTTGATCTTGGTTCAAATGAAAGGTCAAATGATTGTTGGTGAAGGTCTGATGTCTCTACGACTTCCGGTTCTCGAAATATAATTTTTCAAAAATTGTGTTAAATAATTCAAGGGAAATAACTCATATAAGGGTTGATAACAAAAAAAATGTATATGTTTATTTACATTGCCATCTGTTCCTGTACATGTTGCCGTTTTCAAATCTATTCTATATGTTATAATTGTAAAGAAAAATGCAAATAAAAGAAATTGCTTCAAGGGGATATAACTCTCAAAGGGGATGACGAAATCCTACGCAGCCTCATATTGTAATACATCATGATGCGGTCTACTTATTGTCCACAAAAAGTCATGATATCTTTAAAAACAACGAGGGTGGGGGGCCATGTCGAAAAAAAACAATAAAAGGGAGATAACTTCTAAAGGGGATGATGAACTTCTACACAGGGTCATCTGGTAATACTTCATGATGAGGTCTATCGATGGTCTAAATTTGGTCTTGATAACGCCAATAGAAACGGGTGAGGGGGGAAAATGTTGGAATAATAAAAAAAAAAAAAAAAATTGAGAAAAACAATAAGGACTTTCCTCAGGTTGTGGAATGACCTTAACAACAGCAATCATTCATTTTCTATAGAAAATAATAAGTTATCAAATTTTAGATAAACTACGTGTTAGAGAAAGAGAATACAATTATGTTTAGATGTCAAAGGTTACTATTTTAGCATAAACTTATTTAAATAAGTATTAAATCAATTGTTCCATAACATAACTTTCAGGTTATGTATTATAATATCAATCTATTATGTGGTGTCTCATAAAAATTTATTGCTGGATATTGATTGGAGTTTTTGTGTGTTAATATTACAAATTTTGCTGTTGTTTTATGGCTATCAATCATATTTAAAAAAAAATGTCAGTCATTGTAAGTTTAATTCACTGGCCTTTCTTTATTTTTTCATTGTTTATATATCTCAAGTGAATTTATCAGGAAGAAACTTTTGTATATCTATCTTTTTATGTAGTGTTTTGTAGACCTTGTGTTGTGTCTTTTTGTCGTTTATCGTTTTTGACCTTTTTTGTCGGTTTTCTGGTAATTATCAATTCAGATTTGTCCCTTTGGTGTTGTCAAATTCTTGAATGACTAAGCAACAATATGGTGATGATCCATAATGTTAACCTTTCGTGAAGACACACAGAACATAGATCTATACAATATTGTATTGAATAAAAGTCGGTAGATATCATGACATTACATATAATTCAATTCAAAGTAACAAAAAAGATAACAACACACTGTGTTGAGTAAGTGGGATAAATCTCAATTTCTCTTATGGTTGTGGCCTGTTATCTATTTCTTGCATGAAGATATATTTCTCGTATCACACTGCACGTGAGCGTGATACGAAAAAGTGATATGAAAATATGCGTTTATTTGATTGGCTAGTTCAGCATCATGAGATGATATTACGACATTTCCATTGGCTATTTGTTAGGTCATTGATAACTTTCAAAGGTTAAGACGATGTATATTTCGTTCGTGGAAACTGACATGTATGTGATTTCTTGAAAAATATACAAAACACTCCCACTTTTCACCTGAAAATCTTTATTTTGTCAAATTTTATTACATTCTGAAGCGTACAAAACGTTTTAAAATGTCTGATGTTAAAGTTTGACATCGGAACAGGACACATGACGTCATACTGGTATGTGCAAAAGACTAGTTCAGCGATTAGCGGGATTTATAATTCAACACAATGAAAGTGTTGACCATAAGAGAAATAGGTTTAACAACTTGTGAGAGTTGGATATTGCTTGATATCAACTATCGTTATTTAATTTAAATAGTAATAATAAACTCGCCGAAGGCTCGTTTATTATCATATTGAAATTAAATAACTCGAGTTGATATAAAGCGATATCCAATTCTCACTCGTTATGAAACCTATAATTATCTAGATGAATCGATAAATAATGAAAGAGATAAACAACATGTTGTAAGGATAATATATTGATGTTATATTACGCCTGAAGTTGTTGAATTATCTAAAATGCTCGATCCGTTTTCGTCCGATCCCCTTATTGAAATTCAAATAAATACATCTTTCATTATTATTCAGTAATGTGTGGCGTTCCGACATCAACTGTCCAAAAATTATCAACTACATGAAAAGTACTTTTCTTTGGTTCACACATTAGGTTAATTAAGTATTTATTTCGTGTTGAAACCAAAGGACATTGAATTTATTGTACGAGACATAAAAGTCATGCCATATAAGAAGAAGTTTAAACAAATGCGCTGTTTTTAACTTCATCTTGAAAGTTGATAATAGGTATTGAAATGTGTATTTAAGCGTTCAAACCTTTCAAAGAGACAGTCACTTATGGCTTTGTCCGGGTCCTTTTATAGCTGACTATACGGTATGTGGTCTTCTTATTACTGAAGGATAAAATGTGACTTGCATTTGCATTTATCTTCGTCATTTGAATTCTTGAAGATTGGTGTCTCATTGGCAAACATACTACATCTTCTTATTGTTTTCATAAGCCGGACTTCTTTAAAACCGCTTCATATAATTTTAATCGTAACTGAAAACAACATGGTTGAACGTTTTTGCAAATAGAAATTTTTTATGCTCATTTGTGTGAATCATCATGAACTTGAAAATAGGAGGGGTATTCGGTTATGTAATTCAATCTATGAAATTTATCAATGTCATTGCGAAGTTATTGAGGCACCATCTTGTGTTTGGGTATTACAGTTTGATTTTTAATATTGGATAGTGAAAATTTATTATCTATTTTACTTTCTATTCATTATGACTTTCTGTTTTAGTTTATTATCTGATCATTCTTTTTCTAGTTTCAGTTTACACCAGCGAGCAAAATGACTTGAGTCATTCGAAAAGAATACAAACTGCTGTTCACCTACTCTTCTCTTCGCTCTCTCTACGACAGTGTCTGGGTCATATATGTGGTATTTCGGAGGTCCATATTCCAACATAGCACATTTGCCATTAAACTTTATTTTTAGTTGTTCTTCAATGATTGTTCTATGTGACAAAAATCCACAGAACGCATAATGAGCAATGCAGCATGTAAGGTTAGACTTATTGATAGTTGTTATGCTTAAGACAACCGCTTCGTGCCACAAGTTCCAATAACTGTACCTAATTATGTCCCCTTTCTGAACATCTTCCGCTTTCCTTATAGGTCTTAATTTCACGTCTAATAATCTTTTGTTAATATCGAAACATTTCTCACAAATTATCCCATTGTCGTACTCCTTTTCATTTCTTTTCATTTCATTGCTTATTCCTAAAAAACCACTTTTCAGAAACAGACGACCTGTTAATCTCAATTTTGTTACCTGAATACTAAATTTTCTTCCTGTAACGCAATATGTTGCAAAATGTTCACAATTGTTGTCGAAAAGGTCATATTTATATGCTTCACTCTTTCTTTCCCCATCACAAAAATTCCTAGCTCGTTCAGCAGTATCTTTTTTTGAATGTTGCCTTATTCTGTAGGCAATGACACGAAGATTTTGTTTTGCAAAATTAAAGGATTTCACTGATGACCCAATAAGAGCTTTTCTGCCTAGGAACATGCCAATAGCCACACCTGAAATTGTATTTGTAGCCTCTATTATTTCAAACTTCTCGTTTGCCAGCTTTGCAACAACTATCGCATGGTGATCATATATTGCCCCTGCAAAAGCAATATGATCTCCTTCGTCAATTTCATCGGAGGAAAAAACAGGTATTGCTTTAACACATTCAATACATCCACTGATTTCAGAAACTTCTTGAACACTTAGCTCCAGATTTGTAGTGGATGCACCACTTTCACCATCTTCTGTTTGCTTGACTTCGGTCTTATGATTTTGTTCAGGAACAATGGAATCGCTCGAATTTTCATTAACTAGTTTTTCGCTGTCTAATTCCTTGATAGTATCTACTGACGTTATGGTCATACCTGATCCGTCAACTGTATTTTGTCGACGTATGAATTGTTCACGATTTTTGATAGATAAAAAAGAAGGAGGTCGTTGCAAAAAAGATGGATCAAAAGATGTACTTCTATGAATTCCTGGCATCCGTTCTTCGTCCAGTTGTTTTTCGTCATCTCTAGTCGATGAGCTGATTTCAGATTTATCAATGTCAGTTCTTGTTGTGGTACCATCTTTGATTTCTGATGACAATTCATGCTTTAATGGGACATCAACGGAGGAACATTTTTCAACGTTCTTCTCAGTTGGAGCCGTCATTGATCAGCGATGATACATGCGTATTTCTAGAAATAGAAGTAATTTAAAAAATAAACGAATAAATAATGTTCAAAGACATGATAATAAGCAAATACTAAATTTTTCAAATTTATCTTCGTCTTAAAATATGAAACAATATCAGTGTCCCAACTAAATGTGTTTATAATTTTTATGCAGATTTCGACAGGAGATACAAAATGAAGAAGATGTGCGGTGAAAGAATTCAAATATTTTAGAAAAAAACCTTTCTTGAATATATTAGACTGATTAGCTTATCCTCTATACATTCTAAAGGATATAAGATGAAATAATATTGTAAAGAAATACAAAATATATTTAGATAATGCAGATGTCTTTCATTAGTGTCGATCTTTTTTGTTAAACAAACAATGATACATTCTTAAAATCCACAGTCTTGGTTACTTCAACCGCATGAAAGTTCTTGTAGTTGAACACAACAACGGAGTTAACGATTTCCAGTAGGAGGATCTTGAACAAATTTCGATAAAGGAAAACAAACTCCTTCTCCTAGTTAGAATTTAAAGAAAGAAATAGTTATCATTTTAGACTATTCATCTGTGATATAATTAGATGTTTATTTACATTTTTGCATGATTAAATTTTGCGTTCAGTATTAAACAGTGTATGGTCTATAATTCAAATAAAGTATTAAATTCAAAACTATCTTGTGACATTGTATGAAAGAATACAAAGGATTTGCAGAATGCATTTAAAAAGATCACCTTTGACGAGCATGAAAATAAAGAGATATTGAATGATTGCCAATGAGACATACTATCTACCAAATATCAAATAATGTTGATGTTAGCAATTATAGGTCACCGTACGGCTTTTACTAATGACGAAAACCCATACCGTAAAGTCAGCTTTACAAGGCACTAACATGACATATTGTAAAACAAATCAAACAAGAAAACTTACAGCCCTAAATTATAACAAAAGACACAAAGTATCGACCTCAACGTATTCGCAATAACTGAAAGCTAGTTGAAATTTAATTTTAGCTAAAAAAAAATTACCTTTACTAAGATTTGATTTTGATTTTTGGTGTTTTAACGCCACTTTTAAGCACCGCTTTTGGGCTATTTCGTGGCGGCCAGTTTTTATTGGTGGAGGAAGCCGGAGTGCCCGGAAAAGACCACCGACCTTCGATAGGAAAACTGACAATCCTAGTCAATTAAGATGAAGTCGAGTGCACCCGCACGAGCGGGGTTCGAACTCACAACCTCAGTGTTGACTGGCTAGTGATTACAGTAGTAACTACTTAGACCACTCGGCCACCGAGGCCCCTCCTATACTAAGATATAAACCAGTACACCTACAATAGGTAAAGAATAATACACCATAAGCAGGCAGAAGAAGCATGATCTTGTCCTCTGCCAAGGTACTGACAGGCTGCAGGACCATAAATCTTAATAACTGGATAGCAGTATATGTTTATTTTTACAATTGTATTTGAATTTTTTAAAATGAAATCAGTGTTAATACCGATAAAGGCAATATTTAAATATTATATTTCAATATGCAATTCATACAATTTTCACTAAGATTAAGGACCAAAGAGTTTGCATGGATCGTATATAGAGTCCATCCTGTATACAATCCATAAACGAACTACGTTTTAGGTAAATACATAATTGTATGTACCTTCATATGTTAAGATTTGACATTAAGCTGAGATGTGGCAATGGTATGAACAATATTCTTGAGTCGAAGAAATATTTTAATTGTAAGCGATTTGCTTATTCAAATGAATGCAGAAATTAAGATCTGAATTTACTGTATCATGCAAAAAACGGGTGGTTATAACATATATATATAGACATGTTCACATTTATATGAATATCAGATATATGACTTTCTCTAACTTTAAGGACTAGATGCATTAATACTTTACCAAATAAAGCATTTTTGCGGTACCCTTTTCTAACTTCAGCAGAAAAAAATAATTTGAATGTAAAAGCTTTAAACGATGATAAATGATAAACGTAATGTTTTTCCCTAAATGTATTTAAGAAGAAAAAAACAGTTTCAATTATGTGTGTATTTTGTAGATTATCCCTATCTACTATATAGTTCCACAGATTTCATTTTGAGTCCATACTGAATAATAGCAAAATGGGGTTTAACCTACCTCCAAACGATCCAATATTACGCAACGAGGAATACCTAAATTGCACCAATGCTTAACTTCGCTTCCGTAAAAATCGAAAAAGTGATGTTTTATGTTATTTGATCCATATGTTTAGAATAATTTGACAATAACCCATGCTGTCTATGAATTTTGAAAAAAGGTGGATCCCAGTGACATATTTTGATAGTTCATTTAAAAGTTAAAAAGCACTACTTTTATTGTGGCAAAATAAGAGCTTTTTGCTTAGCAAATTTCTGTTTAGAAATTTTTCTCGAAGTTCGGTATTTTGTTATTTTACTTTTTGGTACTCGTTGCAATATTAATTTATAATGTGACGTAAATTCATTTACACTTTGTGAAAAATGTAAATAAATAGACGACTATATGTTTTACACTAGGCATTTTTATAGTTCCTTTAACATAACAAACAAAAATCTCTTAACTGAAAATACATATCTGAGAGCATTGAGTAGAAATTTTTCCCGTTTTTTGTTATTTAATGTTTCTTACGTTTCAATCTTGATCGACGATAAAATTCAATCCTTCCAGGTATCTTTTTTTCTAACTTAACAAAATAAATTCCTGGGTTTTGATATTGATTTTATTCATTGCATCAAAACATGATAACAATAAACTGGATTGTTAATAAAACGAGGGTAAGAGTCTGTGATCATAATATTGTTTGAGAATACTACTGAAAGGTTCTGTTATATTGAGGGGAAAAAACAATGACATAAACGGTTTAAATTGTGGAGGACATACCTTTTGATTAGCAACTGAAATAAATGATTCTTCTGTTGTAGTAGGAGCTATAATAACGTGATTTAAACACAGCCATTAATGTTAAATGATAACGGCAAACCTTAATGATGTTTGCATGAACCAAAAGCAAGCAAGACTTCATTATGAATGTAAACTTTTTGCATCCTTGTCTTCTATTAATTTATATCAGAAAACAAATTGTGACCACCTCCCCTAAATGAAAAGTATAAAAAAAGTCTCTTTTTTCTGTGACATTTTTTTATTCAGATTTTGCAATCATGTCTGAATTTCCACCTATTGGAATAGCCGAAATTATGTTCAATTTTTAAAGCAACCATTTTCCTTAAAAATTGCGAGCAAAGAATTGTTTGGAAGTTCAAAATTTTTCCATAAGGGGATACATACTTCTGAATTAGTCAGTTTTACGGGATAAAAAGAATCCTACTCCATGCATAGTAAGAAAAGGCCGTGGATAATACATTTTGTTTGATTTTATCAAAATTGCTTTAGTTATGCCCATTACACAAGTTGCATTAAAACACGTACCTTTTATCTTTATAACAATAAAGATCCCTTCCTAATTTCTTGATAAACTATATGTATCACCCGACAAAATGGCGTTTTTTAAATTTGTTTACACTAGCTACTTAAACATAATTCTATTTTTAGAACAAATGGAAAACCACGACTGTTAGTATACACGGAATCAAAATAATGACCTAAATAAACAAGAAAAAAAACATTCGAACCCTTGAAACATGATTTCGTTATGAGGATATTTTCTGAGTGTTTGAGACTTATAAGAAGAGTACAGCAATTATATTTTACCATACTATATGTTGTGTTTATAGTATTTACATGATTTATTATAATTCATTCATTCTTTCATTCATTCATATTCATCATTCATTCATTCATTCATTCATTCATTGACGGACTGACTGTCCGTCAATAAAGACGTTAGTTTACAGTTTTGTAATAATAATTCATGAAACCCTACCACATTTTACTGGTACTATATATACTGTGTACTCCTTCTTATGCGAGTTTTCATACTTCAGCATATACGTTACATCGCTGTGACTATAACTTTCCCCCTATTTTCAGGTTAGCATGCCTTATTATAATGCATGTTTTAAGTGGATCCCAGTGACATATTTTAATTATTCTTCTAAAAAAGTAAACTTTTTGTACACGTCGCATATGCGACAATTCCGTATATTTTACTTTTTTCACTGGATACTTCATCTGCTAGTATAAAATGTGACCGTTATGTGTATATTGATGAACATTTGGGTATGTTGTACATAATGGCATATTACGAATATGTAAGAAAGCCTATAAGATTTCCACTTCTTTTGTTTTGGCAAAATAGGAGCTAGTACTCGGTACAATTTGGGTACTGTGACGCAAATTCCCTTATACTTTGTGAAATCTGTAAATAAATCGACGAGTATATTTTGTAACACTAGGCATTTTTGAACTTCCTTTAGCATAACAAACAATCATCTCTAAACTGAAAAAACATATTCAAGAGCATTGAGTAGGACGTTTTCCAGGTTTTTATTATTATAATTTCCTTACGTTTCAATCTTGATCGACGTCAAATCCTAATCCTTCCATTTATATTTTTTCTAACTTATACAAAAATCTGCGCAAAATATTGAAAATTTGTTTGAAAAAAAAATCAATGCATTTTGTGTTTTAGAAAAAAAAATTGCCAGTTTTTGATATTGATTTTATTTATTGCATCAGGAGATGAAAACAATCACCTGGATTGTTAATAAAACGAGGATAAAAGTCTGTGATCATAGAGTATATAACTGTAAGCTACGGTTATATTGAGGGGAAAACATTGACATAATTTGTTTTTATTGTGAAGGATCATGTAACTGTGTTAAAAAAAGATATACCTGTTGATAAGTAACTGAAATAAATGGTTCTTCTCTTGTTGGAGTTAATGACGTGATTTAAACACAGCCATTTATGTCAAATGGTAGTGGTTACCCTCAATGATGTTCGCAAGCACCAAATGCAAGCAAGACATCAGTATGCATGGACTCGTTTTTGCATCCTTGTCTTCTATTGAGATATACCAGAAAACAAATTGTACCCATCTCCCCTAAATGGACAACATAAAAAGCCATTATTTTGCTAGGTCCAATTTTTGTTTTGCAATCATGTTTGAAATTCCCTTTATTTGAATAACCGAAATTGTTGCCCATATCTAAAACAATCTTGAAAGCAACTTTGTTCGAAACAATTGAGAGCAAAGAATTGTCTGGAAGTTTCAACATATTCCATAAGGAGGAATAAGATTTTTGTTTTACAATGGCCAATTTTAAAAGAAAGCATTCCAGTGCGTGGTCAAATAAGGATTATATATTTTGAAAGATTATATAAAAAAAAATGTTTTATATATGTAAGCTGCATAAAAAAAACTTTCCTGTTTTGTCTTCACCAATAAAGATTTCTACCAGATATTTTGAGAAACTATATTTATCACCAGACAAAATGGCGTATTTAAAAGTTGTTTACACTAGCTACTTATAAATATTCTATTTTTAGCACAAATGTAAACCCATGACATTCGGCTCACACAGAAGCCAAATAATGACTTAAATAAAAGAAAAAAAGAAAACCCTTGTTACATGGTAAAATGATGATTTTTTTTTTCAGTTTTTTAGATTCTGTCATTGGATAGCAGTTTATAAGAATAGTATAGCTATTTCACTTTACTATATAATATGTATTTACATTTATTCATACATATTGATTCTTTATCTATTCATCCATTCATTGATGAACAGACAGCAAAAAGACTGTAGTCTACTATTCTGCACCAATGAATGATGTATGCAACCCCGCCGCATGTTTTGATACTACATACATTGTATACAAACTAGTCATATATATCACAAACTAGTCAAAACATTTACTAAATTTTATCATCGGTATAAGGACATCATTCGTAAATATAGCTCAACATGCAGACTTCTTATACGTTCAGGTATTTCACATCCAATTTTTTATGGAAATATTCTTTATAAAGCACAAAAATGTCAGTATTCACCTCTGAAGCTAACAAAACCTTTAAATAGACTTATTAAGAAGGGATATAGTTACGATACTGTTGTCAGGTCATTAAAGATTGCATATTTTGGCGTTAATATTGATTCACTTATAGGGTTTTTGCATCGGCACTAAACACATTTATTTAAAAACCAGTTGTTGCCATGACACGGGTTATGTTCTTCTCATATATGTTATGATGGTATGATACTAAATCCCTAACGGGAAGGATTGTGCCTGATATTCATATGATGAAGACATAATCTTTCAATCAGTTTAATTGAAGTCTGGAGCTGGCATGTCAGTTAACTGCTAGTAGTCTGTTGTTATTTATGTATTATTGTCATTTTGTTTATTTTCTTTGGTTACATCTTCTGACATCAGACTCGGACTTCTCTTGAACAGAATTTTAATGTGCGTATTGTTATGCGTTTACTTTTCTACATTGGCTAGAGGTATAGGGGGAGGGTTGAGATCTCATAAACATGTTTAACCCCGCCGCATTTTTGCGCTTGTCCCAAGTCAGGAGCCTCTAGCCTTTGTTAGTCTTGCATTATTTTTAATTTTAGTTTCTTGTGTACAATTTGGAGTTTAGTATGGCGTTCATTATCACAGTATTTAGGTTTCTATCTTGTGTATTGCTTACTTTTGCTTTTCATTTGGTCGTTTATAGTTTTTTGTCATGCATGGTTTCGTTAGTTTGTCATCAATTTGTGATTTTGATTATTCCCTCAGTATCTCCACCTCGCTTTCACGCGTTACAAAAATTAAGGAATTTGCAGATTAAAATGTTGAATGCATATAATAAAAGTTCCAGAGACAAATCCTTCTTTCCACATGTTTTATTATTATGAGACAACAAAATCTTGATTATCTAGTTAACATATCCATAGAAATGAAATAGCACAACCCTCGACCTTAATATTGTGTTTTTTGGTTATTTACCGAGTTGTTTTTTTTAAACTGTACTCTGGCATATAGCAATCTCTAGAATTACGGGCGTCATAAAGAAACGGCTTATAACGGAACTTTAATCAACTATCATCAAAGTGGAAGGTTCAGCTACCTATAAAACCAGGTTTAAACCACCATTTTCTTCTAAAACTACCTGTTCAAAGTCAGGATTATGGCAGTTATTTTTCACTTGTTCCGTTGATTGATATAGTTTGATTCTGTAAAATGTTTATGGGATTTTCCCTTTTTTTATTTGCCTTGGAATACGGTATGTTTGTTATTCATTTCTATATTTACATTTTCCTCGAATTTATATTTCAAAGTATATTACAAAGTGTCCCCTTTCTGATTTTAATCCTTTATATGATACAAGACGGTTTCTACACATTGTTGAAATATGCTACATGTCTCTTCTTTACGTTTTAAGTCGCAAAATAACATACTATTTGTTTATGTCGACGACTCTCAGCATAGCTTTTTACAAGCCATACTTTGTGGTATAGCACGTATAATGGACAAGCAGGCATGTTTTGCTTGCATAACTAATGATTAAAAAGGGACGGATAATACCAAAGAGACATTCATTTATAGGTCAAAATGAAACAAACAACGCCATGAAAATAAAAACGAAAGCTACTTCTACCATTAGAAAAGTTATTTCAAAGTGGAATAGCACATCCTTTGATCCTGGTAAGTTTATCAAAGCTGTAGATAAAATTAATCTAAAAGGTTATCAGTTCAATATTGTTAGTATATCTTTGAATATTGTTTATATTGGTATAAATATCGACTTTTTTATCATTAAATTCAAACCATGCTAAATATTATTGTTATACACATATGCACATTCACGGTTCTACAACCTGGGGATACTTATATTTTGGTATTGGACAATGTGGTGTTTTCTCTGACTGTTAATGACGTCATTACATTAAATCAATTGGGTCAGTAACTGTGAGTAGTCTTAGATATGTACTTTGTGTCATGTTTGTTGTGATGGTGTATCAATTCCTGGCCACATCTGCTTTTTGTTTTTCTGTTTTCCTGCTTTGTATTGGACTGATGAGCCCTTTTCAACAGTTGTTTTATAGTTTTCTTTTTTTGTGCCGTTACAATACTGTCCCCGGTTAGGGGAGGGTTGACGCTTTCAAACATGTTTAACCCCGTTACATTCTTTATGTGCAGTCAGTTCAGTGGTTGTCGTTGGTTCATGTCTGTAATATTAAATTGTTTTTCGTTAATTGATTTGATTTAATTAGAACGTTAGTTTTCTCAATCGAATTGTTTCATTAAATTTTTTTATATTGTTCTGTTGTTCAGTGTTTAGATTATCTAGTATGTAGTATATTATTGTATTTGTAGCCGTTGTTTTCCTCTTATAGTTGATGTATTTTCCTTGGTTTTGGTTTGTGACCCAGATTTGTTTTAGTTGAATTGATTTATGACTATTGAAATGCGGCATACTACTGTTGCCTTTATTTGATTGATCTCGTTTATCTTTTGACATTTGTGTTATATGTATTTCTTCACATAACTGGTTTGATTATTTCCTTGCATGTTCTCCCTTTTTATGCACCATCATTTGTTACGTTCATTTTGATTATATAACATCA